TATATATATAAACCTGAACCTGAATATAAAACCCTGCAAACCCAGTAACTAAGAATCCTACTTTGATTCAAGACTTGCTATTAGACCGTCCTCACGGTAGAGGGCGCAGTTTGTTTTGCGTTTTCTCCAAACTGACCCCTGCCCTTCCACCGTCATGCGACCCTGACGAGTCTCACGTTTTTCCGTATGTGACCTCGGAGTGTCGGTGCTCAGATTCGCCTTAATCTGAATGAAAAAACTCTGGAAATTGTTTGGAAAAACTAATTTATTGAAAACCGCCCCGCGGCTGCCAGAGAATCGTTGGCCGTACTTCAGTGAGGTTAGCCGGGCTACCACCAGGGGAGGTGAAGAGGAAACATGGCTTCCGTGGAAGAACTGTCCCCGGCGTCAGGCCCGGTGTCTGCTCGGCTTCGAGAAGATGAAATAGACGACGATGAAGATGAAGATGTTAGCATATTTCCTCTCACTAATGTATCTTACCTGCGCTAACAAGAGTAAAGATGTAGTGTAATTTCCTGTTAGCCTGACTGTGCTAATAAGTGAGCTAACTGTTGTGCCTGTTACTAGTCTTCCCTGAGGTTCTGCTGCCATTAACAGGCCGATCAAGGCTTTAAACAGACTATAATCTCCCGTATAAGCTGATCTGTCTTAAATTGTTTTTATCGCGATAACTAACGGTGTTGTGTGTGTCTGCTTCAGCTGGATGAGACCCTGGTGGAGAGGTTGTGGGGTCTGACCGAGATGTTCCCGGACACAGTGAGGACAGCTGCGGAGACCTCCGCGCAGTGCTCGGTCTCCGTGTTAAAGAAGTTTTACAGGTACAGTCCCAGCAGTCAAACATGAGCAGAAACACAACAATGACGCACAAGTAATCAAAAATCAGAAATGTGTAAAGATGCCGATGTTGGACACAAATTAGTTTTATGGTTATTAAACGCTTAATATTTACTTGTAATATAAAAATATCTGTTTATTCAGAAATGAATGCGTTTCTGAAAGATCTGGACTTCAAGTTTTAGCTCCTTCAGATTGTTTTAAATGTCAGAATCAGAATCCTTGTTTCTGCACACAAACAAGGAATCATTATTCCTGGCTACAATCTTGCATATTTACTTTGTGTTTATTAATATGGATCATCTCTTTACAAATATATAAATTAGAAATGCAATTTGAGGACCTGCACTATTACCCAGAGGTGAGTAGAGTTCCTAAAAATGTACTGATTCCAAATGTTTTTCATTTGGAATCCAGAAATTTACTCAAGTAAAAGTAGAGATATTTCATAATGAAATTACAGTGCAGTAAAAATACTCCTAATTTTTATTTTTTTTTTCAAATCAGGTTATTCAAGTAAATGTAGTTCCTACCCAACTCTGAATAATAACAGATATCAAAACAGAATTTAATCACAAAAAAATACATATTTTCTCTTTGTGTGAAGAACTACATCTCAAAGTTAAATGTTATGTTTTTTATGATTTGGGAAATAAATTTGGAGAGTTTCCTTTAAAACATGAACTTCTGCTGATGCTGAATCTGAGGATGGGAAAAGCTTCAGTGGCTCGTCTCCTGCAGCAGAAGCTAACCTGCCTGTTGATGTTGTTGCAGCTTTTCCCGCTCGGCGCTGTGGGTGGGGACGACCTCCTTCATGATCCTGGTGCTGCCGGTGGTGTTCGAGACGGAGCGGCTTCAGCTGGAGCAGCAGCAGCTGCAGCAGCAGAGACAGGTCAGGCACCAGCGCCTCTGTGGACGGCTCACTGACTCTGACATAATGGGATTCAAAAAAATGATCTGCTAATGTTTTCAGGCGGGTTTATTTGTGAGGCACATTTCAGCAACAAGGCAGCTCAAAGTGCTTCACACCATAAAAACACAAACTGAGAACACACTGCTGAAATATTACGCTGTGTCGGGTACAGTCGTTACACATCAAAGTGTTTGTGTTTCATTTATTATGTTTCAGAAGCAGCTGTAACCAGGTGGGATTTTAGTCTAGATTTGCAGGAACTCAGTGTTTCAGTTTTCTGTAAGTTGGTTCAGATCTGTGGCGCATAGAAGCTGAATGCTGTCTCTCTGTGTTTGGCTCTGGGATGTTTTAAATACAATTACTGTAAAGACCAAATGAGTCCAGCCAGCTCTGGTTATCGTTACCGTTAAGCTATATGTTTTTATTTTATTAGCAGATAAAAGGATAAGAAGCGACTCAGTTTCAGTCCATCAGGTCAGTAACACTGACTGAAGTAGATTTCAGTGATTTGATGTGTTAATGGACAGGATTATGCTTATATAATGAGCATAATAAATGTAAATAATTACATTTATTTAATTTCCCTTTGGGATTAATAACGTATTTTTGAATTTTAATTGAATAACAAACAGTGGAAAAAACAATTGTAATTATTATTTATTCTTTTCTAGATCTTACATTGGTTGATGATACAGAGAGTTTTAATAAATCATTTAACCATCAGATGATACAGATGTTATGACAAATGTTGGTTCATTAATAAACAGATTTTCTGTGACAGAATGACACTAAACTACCATCCATATTGTTTTTCTGTCAGTAAGTTTGACAGTTTATGCCTTTTTAAATTTTCTATTTGTCTTCATTTTCAACATCCCACAAAAGAAAAATGTATATTTCTTCTTTTCTGCAAAAGTTTTGTTTCTATTTATTTAAAAACCTAAAAACAAACAAAATGAGGCTCTTTAAGAATGACAACACATTTCCTGAAGTAATACAACAAAGTAAATTTCCTTATTTTTCCTAAAAAAATTGCTTGGACTTTTAACTGAGCAACAATCTGAACAGATGTTTTGTTTGTTTGTAGATCCTGTTAGGACCCAACACTGCGATGTCGGGCGGGATGCCCGGCATGATGCCTGCTGCACCTGGCAAGGTGTGAGGACCAGGAGGAATCTGGGGAAATCTGCCTAGCAACAGCGCTCTGATTCGCCTCTCTCCTTGTGCTCAACGTCATGCAGAGACTGTAATCCAGGAGCAGCTATCGCTTCTGTCAACTCGTTTGTTTTTTTAGAGAAATACTGAAAGTAAATGTTTGTTGGATCAGAGTCAGGAAGGTTGTGGACGTTGTCTGAAGTCTGATCAGTGGTTCTGTCCTGGTAGGTAGAAACGTTGTGTTGGTATAAATGATGCCGCCATTTTTTTTTTTTTTTTTTTTTTCAATTCTATGTAAAGTTTTTTTTTTTCTTGTTGCCATTTAAGGAGAAAGTCTTATGCTTAAACATGTGTCACTTCTTTTTTGACTGCAACAATTAAAACCCATTGAAATAACTTAAAAGACTTCTGAGGATTTGATCTTCTGCTCAGGTAAACCTGAGAGAAAAACACTGGTCAGGTGAATTAGTCGGTACGTTTGACATCTAGCACTCTACCATCTCCACTGTGAGACACAGCGGTGGCAGCATCATGGTGTGGGAAACATGAGCAGATGCAATGAAGCTGGTAAGATTTGAGATGGTGAAATTTCCTCCTTTAAGGCAATAAAGTTTATTTATTCCTGGAGAAATAACCTTTAAATATATTTCTTTCCAGATTGCAAAACTTTGCTACTAATTGTATTTATAAGTGCAGTAAATACAGAAAGTTAAACCTAGATTGATCAGAATGACTTCTTTCTGTTGATGCATGTTTTTATTACAAAACATAAAAGTCATAATAAAGGTTTATTTCAATGATTATTCAGGTCTGTTTGTCTTATAAAAGAAACTAGAATGACAAAACTAAAGCATTATCAGAATAAAAAAAAAAAACAATTACACGTATGAAGTGGAACCATGTTTTTCTCAACAGACTCAGCTTTATTCACCAAATTTCTGCACACAAGCAAGAAATTTGACTTTTTCCTCTTTTAGACATTTAACATATAAGCAAGAGAAAATGAAAGGATTTTCTTTTTTGTAAATATTAATAGATATAGTTTTCACAAAAGATATTTTTTCTCTTTATAAAAACAAAGCGATGAAGTCCGAGTCCATTTTGATCTGTTTCTTAAATCAGCACCTAATGTTGCGTTCAATAGCGTTTCTATTCCTCGTTCAGGAGGGCTTCAAGGGGAATAAGCTGCCCGTGTCCTGTCAGTTTCTCAGACCAGATTCCCTATTAATGAATACACAATAGCATGGACATTAAATCTGGTTAGGTTCGTTGTGTAAAAACCAGCAACAGCCGATTAAACTTTATGATGGAGTGCTTAATTAGTTATGCGTTGATTTGACTAAGACAATCCAAATTTCCGCTAGTACTTGAATAAATCGCAGGTCCTAATTTCCCGCCAGTGACAGATGCTGTCCGTCAGAGGAAACAAAAGGCGATAGTTTTATTTTAGGACTGGGTTTCTTTTATATATATATATATATTATCTGGTATTGAATTATTATTATTATTATTATTATTATTATTATTATTATTATTATTATTATTTGCTAACATAACCAGAACCAACTAATTCCAACCTCTTTAGTTTATTTTTCAGTCGGTATTTTGTGAATCAAGAGCTAGCTTCCGATTGAGCTAGCTGCTCTGCTTTTTGGCTAAAACCTCCTTTAAGTGATAAAATTGAACGTGTAAAATTTTATATTTCATTTTTAAGCTTCATTCTGAATTGAAAATGAAATTCGCTGAGGATCAAGTTGTTGATGATGATACAGGTTTCCAGGATAACGAGGTAAGATCGATAGCTAATACAGTTTAGCCTTTTCCTAAAAATGTAGGTATTAATAAATAATATGACTGAATAATTTAGAAGTGATTTCCGTCTGTTTTTGTGTTTTAATATGATTATTTCTTCTGAATCAAACAGGAGTCGTTTTTTCAAGACATTGACCTCCTACAGAAACATGGGATAGTAAGTGAAATATCATAGAATCACCTGGAAAATGTAGTTTTTAACGTTATGACTACAAGCTAAATGTATATCATTTAGATTTTATGAGTAACACAAAATTGTGTAAATAAGATCAGATTCATGTCTCAGAATGGCCTAGTCAAAGTCCAGTAATAAGGCCCATTGATAATTTTTATCACAATATTTTGTGGTAATATTGTGATAATGATAAACATGATGATAATAACTGGTTATTGCTACTTATTTAGGTAACTGTGTGTCTCAGACTGTCACATCACAAACTCTGCTCTGAAAACATTCCTGTCACATGACCTGCATAAAGTAACCGCATTTATATGTTCAAGTTCATTGACATTTATTGATGTTCTTGGGGAACAAACAGTGAAGAAAATAATACAAATAACAATCCTAACAATGTGGTCATATTTTTATTTTTTACTTCATTATCCGGAATTTATTCTGACAGAGATAAATCAAAATTTTTATAAGAAATTTTATCACGATAAATGATAAATGCCTATTACAGAGGCTCTCTGAATGAGGCTCAAGTTTAAAAATCTACTTGTCCAAAACTGTTAAAGACCCAAAATGACGGTTCATTTTTCCTTCTCTTCTCAGCTTTGAACTGTTTGTGCCTATTGCATCAAATCCTAATAAATGCTGTGAATTTTGTGGTTATAAAGAGACAGAGTGTATTATTTTGTGTTTTTGTCCAGAACATGGCGGACATTAAGAAGCTGAAGTCGGTGGGAATCTGCACCGTTAAAGGGATCCAGATGACGACGCGCAAAGCTCTGTGCAACATCAAGGGCCTGTCGGAGGCCAAGGTGGAGAAAATCAAGGAGGCGGCAGGAAAGATGCTGGTTAGACGCCCCTCTGTTATTCTGTTACGCAGAAATGGACAGGAGCGTAGCTCTGAGTCATTTTGGTTTTCCTGAGCAGAACGTTGGATTCCAGACGGCCTTCGAGTACAGCGCCAGGAGGAAGCAGGTTTTCCACGTGACGACGGGCAGCCAGGAGTTTGAGTTAAGATCGCAAAGTTCAGCTGCTGCGTGTTTTATCTGGGTTCACTCATGTGTGTGTGTGTGTGTGTGTGTGTGTGTGTGTGCAGTAAGCTGCTGGGTGGAGGGATAGAGAGCATGGCCATCACTGAGGCCTTCGGAGGTGAGAAGACATGTCGCTTTTTAAATTGTTATGTAACAAACTAATAATAAACTAAAAGATCTTTTTATTTAATGATCTGATTTTCCTCAGAGTTTCGGACGGGAAAAACGCAGCTTTCTCACACACTCTGTGGTGAGCAAGTCCTGCTACACATCAGCTTCACTATCATTTATTATGGTTATATTGTACCTTACTCTGACTAGTTTTTAATAATTTGTGGTTATATTTTCATATTTTGTGGCTGTTTTGTTACGTGACGTGTGTTTCGCCCCTCCAGTCACGGCCCAGCTGCCAGGTGAAGACGGATACTCCGGTGGGAAAGTCATCTTCATCGATACGGAGAACACCTTGTATCCTTAGAGCAAGTTTATCCTTCTTTCCTTTCCTTCTATTTTTCCTGCTTGTTCTTTTTCTCCCTCTGTTTTTCCATTAATGGATCCTTTCTTTCCTCTTTTCTTCCTTCCTTTGTCGTTTCCTTCTTTCTTCCTGCCTTTCTTTCTTTTGTTCCTCCTTTCTTCCTTTCTCTCTACCTTGTTTCCTTCTCTGCTTTCGTCCTTCCTCTTGTCCTTTCTTAATTTCTTTCTTCCTTCCTACTTTCTTTCCATTTCATCCTTCTTCCTTCCTTCCTTTCCTTTTTTTATTACTTTTTGTGTTGCACTTTCCTCTTTTCTTTTCTTCTTTCCTTGTATCCTTCCTTCTTTCTGTCCTTATTTAGTTTGATTCTTCCTGTCAGTTCGACTCAGACGCCCAGAATAAGAGATAAAAAAAACATTTTTAAACAGGCTATAAATCTGAATTAAAATCAGGCTAAGGCTGTTCTTCTGTATGTTGTGACCTTTGACCTCCTTGCAGCCGCCCAGACCGGTTGCGGGACATTGCAGACCGGTTCAACGTGGATCACGACGCCGTGCTGGACAACGTGCTTTACGCCCGCGCCTACACCAGTACGACCAGCTCAGCGTCCACTTCCTGAAGCCTTGTTGTGACTTCCTGTCTGAGCGACAGGAAGTCACAACAGGAAGTTGCTGTTCCTGCAGGCGAACACCAGATGGAGCTGCTGGACTTCGTAGCAGCAAAGTTTCATGAAGAAGGCGGCGTGTTCAAGCTGCTGGTGAGCTGCAAACCTCTGATTGATTTCCTGCTGCGTCAGGAAGGTAATCATCGATAGTTTGACCTTTTCCATCCTGAAACACTCACAGGTGATTTCAAGGTTTGGAAAGTCCTGGAAAGTCCTTGATATTCTAACTGCAGAGTTTCATAATGAAGCGCAATGAAATATTTAATTCCACCTAAATTAAGAAAACAAAACTTACAGTTGAAACCAGATATTTTCACACACAGAAGGTTTTTATTTTCACTCTCTGAAGTTAAGTAACATTAAACTTTTCTGGTTTTATTTTAGTTAGAATCATGAAAATTATTTCTATTTGCTAAAAGCCAGAAAACGTAAAGAGAACATTTTTTATTTGATTTTTGAATAGTTATTATTTCTGATGACTCAGTCACTCATCGACCCGTGTAATTGAAATAAACACTGACTCATATTTTATACTTTAAATGTTACTGAAATTGGAGATTTGTTTTTGTTAAATTAATGTTTTGTTATTGAACCAGTAATGAGGTTTATAAAACAATACATTCGGTTATATTTTAGTTTTACTGGTCCCTGCTGTGTAACAGTATATTAAAAACACGATGGTGAATTTAAACTGTATTTTAGTTAATTTGTGTTGTTTTTATCTCCCAATTTGTGCTGTAAAAGTTTGAAGACGTAGATGTTTCTATGGAAACGGTCCTGCGTTCACGCCGCCCTGTCGGCTCTTCCTCTTCAGATCATCGACTCCATCATGGCTCTGTTCAGAGTGGACTTCTCCGGCCGCGGGGAGCTGGCCGAGCGGCAGCAGAAGCTGGCCCAGATGCTCTCCAGGCTGCAGAAGATCTCTGAAGGTGGGAACCAGAACCAGGATGGGTTCTGGTTCTGGTTCTGGCTCAGTTTGAGCTCAAAGGACATCTGAGAGTCTCACTGAATCTTTACTCCAGTGTTAATACGTCTGGAGATGGGAACTGATGAGAATTTATCTGTACCGATTCCATAATCGATTCTCAGTGAGTTTGGAAATAAAGTCTTTAATTTAAAAAGTACACCATGTTGCATTCAGTTCAAACTCGATTAAAACAGGAAGAATCCGTCTGTTAAATGAACATTTAACATGAAATTAACCTTGAACAGACAAGTCCTCATCGCCTGCAGACCAATTCAATAAACTGGATTATTAATTAGGTTCATCAGATTAATCGTGATGAACCCATTATTGAAATAATCATCAACTAATTTAGTAACTGACTGTTTAGTTGTTGACTTACCAGCCAGAAATCACTTGCTTTGACGGCTATTAAAGAGTAAATATCCACTAAGAAAAACTCTGAAATTGAGAATTTTTCTAGAAAAAAATCTAAATTTTCCTCTTTTGCTCATTTTTTTTCAATCTACAATGCTCTAATAATTTGCTGCATTTGTGTCGGTTGTGCATGAAGCTCCACTTCTGCTTTTCTAAGATGCATGGTTGTATAACTGCTCATCTGATAGCAGTTGGGGGCGTGGCCAGCAGCTGCTTATTTGGATTTAAAGCAACAGAGACATTAAAACAGCCCACTCTGAAGGATTTTCAGCAAAAACTAGCATGTTTTGTATAGGCCACAGATTGATCCTGTTTAGGGAAGCACCATAGGTCACGTTAAGGTTCATCTGGTTTCTGTTTCCTGTCTGTTTTCATCCGTTCATCTCGTCCTCAGAGTACAACGTCGCCGTGTTCGTTACCAACCAGATGACGGCGGATCCCGGAGCAGGAATGACGTAAGAGCCGAGAAAGCCCCGCCTCCTCCCGGCCTCTAGTCTGCTTCTTTAAACCTTTTGATGTTTCAGATTTCAGGCCGACCCCAAGAAGCCGATCGGCGGACACATCCTGGCCCACGCCTCCACCACCCGCATCAGCCTGAGGAAGGGCCGCGGCGAGATGAGGATCGCCAAGATATTTGACAGGTGAGCCGTCGCTCCACAGAACCTCTAGCTTGTCGGCCATATTTACGGTTTTGATGGATCTGTTTGTGATTGTTCTAGCCCTGATATGCCTGAGAATGAAGCCACGTTTGCCATCTCTGGAGGAGGAGTTACTGACGCTAAAGAGTGAAGCATCTAATCCACCTGTTCACACATGATTAATATTTATTATCTTTATTTATTATTTTAACCTCTATTTATTGGAGTCACATCCATATATTCATTAAAAGTTGTTCCGTTGATGTCGTACTTCAGTAATTTTACTAACTGTTATATGTGTGCTCTCAGTTGTGATGCTTCAGTTCACTGAAAGTTTAATTAAATCATAAAATGAGTTAAATCTGGGAGTTTTCTCACTTTTATTTGGATTAATAACTAGAAATGTTAGAACAAATCAGTTAAATTCACAAGTATGGATAGAAAAACATCAAACACTGTTACCATTATGGGAGGTGTATAACTATGCATACATAAAATAAATTAAAATATTTTTCCTCCCTTTCTGAAGTTTAATTAGACCAAAATTATCATGTTTTACATCAGTTAAAATCACTGAAATTATTTTCATTTGCTAAAATCCAAAGAAGTTGGTCAGAACATTTTTTGTAAATTTATTTAAACTCTGGGGTGAAAAATGATATTATCTGGTAATAAAGTTTTCCACCAGAGAACAAAGTCAGAAGGTTTGAAGCAGCATTTATGTTAAATGAATGTAATAATTATATTATGGACGGGTGTCCAAGGTGCGGGTAATAAAAAAAAGTAGCTCAAGTAAATAACAGAGTAAATGTAACCGGTCACCACCCCACTCTGTTCAAGTGCTGCTAATCTTACTCTGTCCGCCTCTGTTTAAATAGTAAAACGCGTTGGTTTCAGTGGTGGCGCCATGCCGCCCCCTGGTGGCGCCAGCGGGACTTGCAGCTCGCTCCGGGCGCAGCGCTACTCGCAGATCCATATGCTGGTGAAAGCCAGACTGAATCGCTATGGGAACTTCACCAGGCGAGTTCCTCCGAGTCTGAACCAAAGCAGCAACTCATCGCGTCTGAACGGAACCGCAGAACCGGCCCACCTTGACTCGGAGGGCGGCCTACAAGTTGTTCAACTCCAGAAGAAGAAGAAGAAGCCATGGACTCGAGAGACACAGCCCCGGATTCATGGGAGCAGGAGGAGGATGCCGAGGCCCCGGCTCCCGCGGCGGAGCTCCCAGCCGCCTTCGCCGCCCTCAATGTGAACGCCAAGCCGTTCGTCCCCAACGTGAACGCCCCGGTGTTTGTGCCGAGCTTCCTTCAGGCCAGCAGCGCCGGAATCCCGGCTTCAGACGGTGGGTGAACGCCAGTCAGCTGGAAGTTAGCCCAGGCTGCTAGCTCTGATGCTAGCTTAGCTTTCCTGCTTCAGTTAATCACGTTTCAGCCGCTGATCAACACGTCGGCCCGTCAGCCGGGGCTGTGTTAGTGGAACAGCTATGCTGCAACATATTTACGCTCATATTTATACGTAAGATACGAGCAGGATGTTGTGGGCATTTCTGAAAGTTGTGCTTGCTGTGCTGTGTGTCCCCTCAGGTCCTCCGGAACCAGCTGCTAGCATGGAGGTGACGGACACAGCCGGTACGCACCCCGAACTCCACATGTTCTGCTTCCAGTCTCGCCGTTTGTCACGGTTTGGCGTGAAAGTGGGGCTCTTTTCATGTATTCACACCCGGTTTTGGACCCACGCTTATGTTGGTGGCTGCTCCTTATTTGGGTTTCTGGCCCTGGATGGTCCCTGTGCATGGGGGCTACGCAGAGAAAATGATGCAACCTCGCTCTGCCCGGCTCAAAATAGACATCCCATTGACACTTGGTGTGATGGGCGCCATGCTGCTGGCCCTGGGCCCCCCGCCGGTTGTGATCCTGCAGAGGAATGCTGTCAGAAACTGCTGGTTCTGTCCTTCATAGGGCGATCAGTTAGATACTGCTTTATTTTCAGTTGTAGTCACATCAGCAGATAAATCTGTCCTTTTTATTGGCTTAACCTGTTATTTTTGTCACCAGTTGCCATCCATACCAGTTAGTTTTGCCCTCTGCTCACTTTCTAGTTCCCTGTTTGTCACCTTTCCTCATGTCCTCATTCAACCTCCCTGTAGTTTAAGTTTCTTTTTCCAAACATATTGTGTTTTGTCACTAAGAGCTGTTTATACCAGTTAGTTCTGGTTTCTGTGTTTTAGATCCTCGTTTTCTTGTTCCATCTGTCTCCGTCCCTCATGTCACTGAATCACCCTCCCTGTAGTTTAAAAGCCAGTTTCTTTTCCTCCTCTTCAGATTTTTCCTTTACAGATCGATTTTATTCTCCATGCCGGTTTCTCTCTCTTGCCTGGTTTTTTTTCCAGTTTGTTGTTCCATCTCCATTTTGTCTTGTTTAATTTCATTTGTCTGCGTTTAGTTAATAAAACATGACAGAAGGACATTTTTCCAGACTTGCCTGTTATCATGCAGGATGAGTTTGTCTTTAAATCCAGAGCTGGGTGGATTTCTGAGTTGCTCACTTGCAGTTTGTGGAGGCAGAGAAGGAAACGTACTGAACAGTTGCAGTGACGGTCTCACCATCTCAGAGTTGCAGAAATGAGAGGCGTGTTTGGCAAAATGTTCTTTTCTTCCTGTCTTGATGAGAGACTCGGCTTCTTGTTCCGTGTGTTTACTAGATTCTTTACGATGGACATCAAATGATGCATAATTGTGACATGGAAGTGAAATTATTGATTGGGTTTTGAATAATTTTACAAATAAAAAGATGTGGCATGCATTTATGTTCACCTGCAATTTTTAGCTCAATAAAATTTCTGATGGTTATTTTACAACAGGATTTGACAAACAAGGGGGATTTTACAGGTTATTTTTCTTTTGGATGCTAAATTATTGCCTCTGAAATAAACTGCAGCCCATTTTTGTGTTTATAATCTAAAGGAAGTTTGAGACATGAAATTGCAATAAAATCAATTAAACTTAGTGGGATGTGTAGATTTGCAAACTGCAACTGCTAATTTGAATTGATTTTATTTAAATTTTATGTCTCAAGCTTTCTTTAAACACAAAAATCCACTGCAGGTTATTCCAGAAGCAAAAATTTAGCAAAACAACTTACAAAATTAGCTTTATGTCAAATCCTGTTGAAAATTAACCCCTATAAGAATTTTATTAAGCAAAAAAACAAAAAAATGAGGTTAACATAAACGAATGCCACATGAAGCACAGCTCATCCCCTGCTCTGCTCCTTCAAACTAGCCAGCAGCAATTAGCAAACTGCTGCTCTGAGCAACCCTGGTAAAACATTAATGGAGGAGCCATGTTGGGATGACGTCCTGGGGGCGGAGCTTCAGAAAGAGCAGGAGCTTCTTAAAGAGACAGAGGCCCAATTTTAAGGAGTTAAATTAGGAAGTAAATTTTGTGATCATATTTGAGATGTATACCATTTTTTATCAGCTGAAGGTAGCAATTACTTTATTATGCTATAAAATGGCTCTATGTGCCTGAAAAACATGATACTGCGCCTTTAACACTTTGTTTTGGCTGCTTCCTTCCTGTAAAGGAAGGAAGTGACCATATTTGGAGAAGGAGGAGGAGCTTCAGAATTATTTGTTAGATTATCTGCAGCAGGGTTGAACATATCGTTTATCATGTATCATAAAAAAAATCCTTGACTAGAGTTTTGACTTGCTGTCTTAAAAAAATTCCAATTAATGTTATATAAAAAAAAAAAAGTTACTTTATTTTGCTGACACTGCTGGCAGAGGAGGAAAGGTGGGCCAGTGTTGTGGGAAACGTTCAGTACTGGCCCTTTAAATAAGAAAAGCACAAGCCGTGACATCATCATCTAACACTTCCTGTCGTCTTCATTTCTACCAGTAGTAACATCCTGTTGTGACTCGTGTGAGAAAAGTGTTTATATTGAAGTTTAGCGAAATACAGTAATTTTGATTGAGCTGAAAACTTTTTATTGAAAAACATAATTTTCTTTTTCCAAAATGGTGTTTCCAGTAAGCCAGTTTATTCTTGTAATTTCAGTTTGTGCAGTTTTATGGTGAATAGTAGAGCCGCGCCCCGCCTCACCAGGTACGGGAGCTGCAGTGACCAAAATACTTCACGTCTGTCTCCCCTTCCCTGTTAATTTGCGTTTCGTTGTGGATTCCATTTTGTTTTTAAGTTCTGCGGTTCCGTCCGTGTTTTGACGGAAACCATGGGCCGTGGTTTCAGGAGTGAAGAGTCGTCTGTGTGTGTTTCCAGCACCAGTGGAGAACGGAAACACAGAGGCTGACATGGCGGCGGAGGAGGAAACGTGGGAGCAGAAGGAGGAGCCCGGGGGAGGCGAGGGAGGCGGCGGGCAGGAGGAGCTGGGAACGGAGGGGGGCGGCGAAGAAGGCGGCGCCGCGGGGAGAGAGGATGAGGAGATGATGGAGGAGGAAGAGGAGGAGATCCCCCTCCCTAAGGTGGCCCCGCCGCCGCCTGATGCTCCCAAGAAGGAACACGTGAACGTCGTCTTCATCGGTCACGTCGGTGCGTACGCTTCCTCTCTGCGCCTCTTTCTTCTTCTTCTGCAGTTTTATTCACATAAAAGATGTTTAACGTTTGGTTTTTCTGCTCCAGATGCTGGTAAATCCACCATCGGAGGGCAGATCATGTGAGGTTTCATCATGTTCTTCCACACCAACCTGCTGAATTACACCACTGAGCGTTACATGCCACACCCACAGGGGGCAGTGCAGCACTCGGCTAAAACCTGTCAGCCAATCACAAACCACTTCCTGTTAGGAATTAAACATGGCGTCTGGAGACTCAGAGAGGCTGAGCTACTTTTAAAAGCTATTAGAATCTAAAGTTAATGAAGCAGAAGACAGTCGACTGGGAATCATGTTAAACAAACATGGAGGTTGAGCGGCATTGAGCCTCCATGTTGGGGAGGGAAAGCTGCTGTGAAGCAGCTGATCTTCCTGCTTTCCAACTCGACGCATTGAGCAGTTAGGCTTCTAGAAAACAAGTGTCTGCATAAACATGAGAAGTTTCCATAAAATACCAAAACTTTCATTTTACTTATATTTTGGTCTGTTTAATTATATCAATTTAAAATATTAAGTGATTGATAATCAGTTACTTTGTTCCAAATCTTTTTTGCTCTGTGGGCTTTCAGGTACCTCACTGGGATGGTGGACAAGCGAACGCTGGAGAAATACGAACGAGAGGCGAAGGAGAAGAACAGGGAGACATGGTGAGCCAGGCGCTCCGGGTTCTGGTTCTGGTCACGTCTGGACATTCTGGGTCTCAGCAGTAAGTCGGGATAACGGTTGGCTGTTGCAGGTATTTGTCGTGGGCTCTGGACACCAACCAGGAGGAGAGAGACAAGGGCAAGACGGTGGAGGTGGGGAGGGCTTACTTTGAGACGGAGAAGAAACATTTCACCATCCTGGACGCGCCGGGACACAAGAGCTTCGTCCCCAACATGATCGGCGGCGCGTCGCAGGCCGACCTGGCGGTTCTGGTGAGGAGCAACTCAAGTTCTGCTCAAAACATCTTTAATGCAGCAGTTAGTAAACTACACACAGCTGGACTCTCGTTACGTTCAAAGGCTGCTACACTGGACATTATTTGGGGGTACCACAGTAAAAGAGGTCTAAATACAAATGTATGCCACACTTTTCAGATTTCTGGGGTAAATAATTGTACTTTGAGTTAATTTGCCTTGAAATCCACCTGAAGTTTCTAGTTGGAAGGAGTTTGAAGCTTATGCTACGCTAATGCTAACAGACTAGTCATAAACATGACGCTAGAATGTTTTACCGACATGGCAGATAGCCAAAGCTAATATGAAAGCGCTAAACTGAGCCATTTTTATACCACCATGTATTAATGATGCAATGTGCTACAACATGGTGTATCGCCCCCACCAGGATCAGGTTTGTCATGACACGTCTACCTGCACAGTTCGAGCTTTAGGGACAAACTTTCACTGGTTTCAGTCTTATTGCAAATGTTGGGGAATCTAAGTAAACGTTTTCAAAGTTAGCAAAAAAGTTAACGTTTAGCTTTTTTTTATCCAAGGTGAATGAAAAGTTAGCTCCACTGTTAGCGGCCGTTAGCCCGCCGCTGCCTGACGGTAATTAGCTCTTCTGATTGATCATCCGTCTTGTTTCAGGTCATTTCGGCCAGAAAAGGCGAGTTTGAGACGGGCTTTGAGAAGGGCGGCCAGACGCGGGAGCACGCCATGCTAGCTAAAACAGCCGGCGTTAAACATCTGATCGTTCTGGTCAACAAGATGGATGACCCCACCGTGAACTGGAGCCTCGAAAGGTGACGGCTATTGAACACCCAGATAATTTTACACACACAGACAGGTTGCCGTCGCCATAGCTACCAGGCTGTCCTGTGTTGGCTTCCTGCAGGTATGAGGAGTGTAAAGAGAAGCTGGTGCCATTTTTAAAGAAGGTGGGCTTCAACCCAAAGAAGGACATCCACTTCATGCCTTGTTCTGGACTCACAGGTGCCAACCTCAAAGACCCAGTGCCCGAGTGTCCCTGGTACACGTAAGTCTGAAGCACATCCTCTGGGAACGAAGCACCGGGTAACCATGGCAACAGAGGTAGCCATGGCAGAGACAGGAAGTGACCTCAGCTAGCTTCGGGGTCATACAGGAAGCGGTTAAAACGCAGCTCGGCTCTCCATTAAAGGGCCGGCGAGCGCCTTACTGGACCTGACCGGTTGGACTAAAGGCCCATTGTTATCCATCCGTACATCCATCCATCCATCCAACCATCCGTCCATCCAACTATCCATCCATCCATCCAACCATCCGTCCATCCAACTATCCATCCATCCATCCATCCACCCATCCAACCATCCATCCATCAAACTATCCATCCATCCATCCGTACATCCATCCATCCATCCATCCATCCATCCAACTATCCATCCATCCATCCAACCATCCATCCATCAAACTATCCATCCATCCATCCATCCGTACATCCATCCATCCATCCAACTATCCATCCATCCAACCATCCATCCATCCAACTATCCATCCATCCAACCAACCAATCATCCACCCATCCAACCATCCATCCATCAAACTATCCATCCATCCATCCGTACATCCAACCATCCATCCGTCCATCCATCCAACTATCCATCCATCCAACCATCCAACCAACCAACCATCCATCCATCCATCCAACCATCCGTCCATCCAACTATCCATCCATCCAACCATCCGTCCATCCAACTATCCATCCATCCATCCAACCATCCGTCCATCCAACTATCCATC